AGAGTCACATATGACCACCGCGCTGGTGGTAAAATTTCTTAGAGTGTAGTAATCTTCTCGATCGGGATGCCGGTGCTGTTTGGAACGATGACGTTTTCCTGGTACGCCCAGCCGGAAGATTTTTCAGCTCTGTTAAACCTGTTCTTGTCATATGAACGGAGACATCGATTCCAAGGATCAAAGAAGAAGGTCATGGTTTATGCGGTCTGGTTTTTGGGGATTATTGGATCTCTCTTCGTTCCATTGTCGGTCATTGTACTTTTTGTGGTGAAGCCGGAGACGCCTCCGCTTTTGGGGTCGATACTTCCTAAAATTGATGGTAAACTTGTAATAAATGATCCAAGAATTTGACCAAGTCAAATTGTTAGTCCTTCATAGCTGGGTTTCAATCCAGATTAGTCAATGTGTTTAAATGGTCAATCCCAATCCATAATCCCTCTATCTTTAACATTGGGTAATCCGGATTAAAACCCAACTCTGCAGTCCATCCCATATTAATTAATATAAAATATGCAAAAGACAATATCTCTCAGTGCCCAGGTCTTGCAGAGATTTTTGCATCCAAGGAGGAGAAAATGTACCGTAAAGTTGACAAATTTTACACTTTCCAAATTTACTGCGCATTTTCTTCTCTTCGGCTTCAAATATACATCTGTGCCAAACCTGGGCAGTGGGAGATCAAATTGTGCTTTTTGCAAATTTCATGTTAATTGGATTTTGGATTGCTAGTGTGGAATAAATTTTATGATATTAAATATCAGATATTTGATAAAATAATAATGTGCAGGCCTTCAATGATGATTGATTATTGTTGCACTGGTCTGCAGAAAATTTCACTAACATCTTACTCGTGGTACACATTATGGGCATGGTGTACCAGGCGTGGCAGTATTACGCGTTTGGCTCACCCTTCCTTTTTCTGACGGCGAATATATTTCTGACCTCAATCTACAGTTTGTGCGTCGCCCTGGGCAACATAATCAGGTCGGTAAATACTTATGTAAATACCTACGTTGAAACATTCTCGTTGATTGGGTATACTCACGTTAGTCTCTTACCAATTACTTGGAATAGCACTTGGCATTACAATAAATAGAGTTACTAAATTTGCCAAGCTCAACAAACTTTGTGTCACGAGGGGGATTTGTAAGATTTGATTTCACAAACCTATAAAAATATTTCTATCGTCCTATACTGATTTTAATTTTCATGGATTTTGTCTAATTTCTATCGATGTTGATGAGGAGAAGTGTGAGCAAATGCGAAAAATAATGAGGCAATTAAATAGTTTTCCACAGAAATATCTATTTGAAAACTTTGTAAAAATTTATAAGTTTCAAGGATTTACGGGTTTAAAATTTTGCCTAAAACTGGTGCCTAAATGTTCTGTTTTTGTAAAGTTTTTTTTTCTATTTATGCAGGTTGAACAAATGGAGTCAGTCCTGGCTGAGGGTTTCATCCATATACGACAAAACCTTGAAATGGTACGTACACCTGAAAATCTTGGAAGTCCAGGTGAATGTCGCTTTCGCAAAATTTCTTTTGCCGGGATCGCTCTTCATCTTCGTCTGGGTCAATGTGGGGTCGACCTTTTTCATCGTCTCGTCAGGAGCTGAAATTTTCAAGAATTATGAACACATCCTGTTCGTCATGGTTTTTGGGGAAAGTGTGATCATAATTTTATTTGTGGGAACATTATGCGGTAAAGTGAACCAGAAATCGAAAACATTTCTGAGACAGGTGAAAGGTGCCAAGACGGTTGGGAAGAATGCCCAGTTCCGTAAAACGGTGAGAAGTTGTGCCCCTTTAAAGATACGATTTCGGAGTAATTTTATCGAAATTTTCACACCGTTGGTGATCATGAGCTTTTGTATTAAGTTGGCGGTAAAGTTATTACTGTTGTGAGGATTTTTTTAATGGCAGGTTTTTTGGAAGATGCGTATGCACTCTTTCTTAAAAATCCAGTATTAAAATAATACCAAGCGGTATTCATTTATGAATGACTTTAGTAAAGTGGTATTCATAAGTACATAATATCATGTGTTTAGGAATAGCTCGGAATTAAAGGTTTTACCATATCGGTAGTAAATTTTTACGGATTCCGTGTATTTAATTTTAGTACCAAGGGGTAACAGCTTTAATTCCGACAAATCAATGCCTGTATGAATATTTTTAAGGGTGTAAATTACAAATCGTACACGTTTGTCAACTTGTACATATAGTTTGTGCATTGTTGGTGTGTCTATCATTACGGATTGGATACAAACCATTTCACGGCGAATTACTTAAATTGGTAAATTCTTAAATTACCAATTGTACAGTAGCAGTAAATATTTTGCATGACAAATTAGTTATTTTACGATTCGCTACATATTTATTAATTATCTGTAGATAAGTATATGTCTGTGTACATAAGTAATTGCATGCACTTAAATAGGCTGTATATAATTTTTGCAATATGAAATAGACCGTGTTTGTTCTGTAAATATTTTTCCTGTGCATGTATCGAATCGAGTAATTTGTTTATTTACCAGGCAGGCATACCTTCCCTTGCATGGACAAATGTGCAGAGAAAATAATGCATAAACACGTGACATCTTCATAACTTTATATACATAGCATTTTTAAATCGCTTCATACATACGCAATTCACGGCATCCTTTGTAATATTGTAAAAATCCGTAAATTCTGTAAACTTGCAAACTTTTACAAAAGTTTACAAGTATTTTTAAGGGAAATTGTCCTACAAATTTTTGTATAACTTACGTCTTTTTCTTAGATGAGGCCATAGTTACTATATGGAAAAAAATCATCTAACAATGCGATGGTGTGAAGTGTAACCCTCCGATTTGGCTTAAATTTTAAAATTAGGTGGTCCAAGCCAATACAACTAACGTTTCTTCAGGCAGTTTCTGCGATGGTGAGAGTTACTCAAAATATTTGAGGTCAAAGTTCAAAAAACGGCCGACTTTTTTCAGGCGGAGTGAGAAAACTCCACTTCCAGTCTCTTCCCCTCGCTTTGATTTTATTCAGGCGTCTCGCTCATGCATACGCCTTCATGCTCAAGCACAAGCTTTGATGCAAAATAATAAAAAATAAACATTATTAATTATAGCTTAAAGAGCAATTAATACGCATTATACATACTTAATTTAATTTATAATTAAATAAGTGAGATTTTTACTTATTTCTAGTACAAATTTACATAAAAGTTAATTTATAAATTCGCCAACGGCAAATAAACATGGAAAAACTTAACTTGCTTTCCATTTCGAACGCGTTGGTTATTCTAATATTCAATTAATTTATATTTTAAGTGCTCCTGTGTTTGTTCCAATGATTCGATATTGTTGGTACTCGAGCGGATTATGGGGTGATGACGAAAAGCCCGAGTTTAAAAATGTAAACGACGTTTGTTTTAGAGAAAAAAAATATTAGTTGCGACCTGAATTGTGGCAATCCCACATTCATCAAATTCAGCTGGTGCAGTTTATCGTATTGTTTTGTGGACTTTATGAAAATAATCATATGGTCACATGTACAATGAATAATTAATATTTTTCTACAAAAAAAAATTAAATTTAAAATTGTTGAAATGAATTATTTTTCGGAGTGAAAATCAAAGCGAGGGGAAGAGACTGGAAGTGGAGTTTTCTCACTCCGCCTGAAAAAAGTCGGCCGTTTTTTGAACTTTGACCTCAAATATTTTGAGTAACTCTCACCATCGCACAAACTGCCTGAAGAAACGTTAGTTGTATTGGCTTGGACCACCTAATTTTAAAATTTAAGCCAAATCTGAGGGTTTCACTTCACACCTTCGCATTGTAAGTAAGCATTCACTACAGGTTTGAAAAGCTTAATTTTTTCAGATCTCCGTCAATTTCCAACCGATTTTAATGAAATTTTGCCCAGAGTTAATTACGGCTACATCGAGTAGAGCCCTGATTTGGCCGCCTAAAGCATCCAACGGTTTATGAGATATTCAATAGAAACCCAACCAATAGTGTGTTTTTTGGAGATTTGAAAAAATTTAAGGCATGTATGAAAAAAGTACACGGATAAAAAGTTGATACATATTTTTTATAAAAATACAAAATTAAAATAGGCAAAATCGGTTTAAAAGTGAGAAAGTTTTGATGGTGTTGAAATGTAACCACTCCCACCACCGCCCAAAGTTGAGTTGCTAAGGTCGACCCAGCGACTTCTCAATTCAGAACCCTTTAGTATCTAGGTGATGCTTGGGTCTCTTAAAAAGTAGATCATTAGTAATATGGTTGGTGGTCACATAAATTACTGTTCAATACAAATAAAAACTAATAAATAAAAGAAACCCAAAAAAGGACAACTTAGATGAGACTAAGTGCGATAAAAAGTATTTAATAAATTTCTTCTCCAGTGAAGGGCACAGAATTTTAATATTTCCAGCATCAGCCCCCCATTTCATTCAGTACTATGTACCATGATATAATAGTAAAGTTCTGTGCCATCTACATACAAATATACAATAACTATCAAATTTGAAATATTAAAATCATTTGTGAATTTTTCTTGTCACTAAAAAATTATGAATGCTTACAAATGTACTGAAAGTTGATACATGATATACAGGTGTAGCCCAACATGGTCGACTTTTAATAATATGTACATATATGCATACATGTTGCTTATGTACAGACATTTGAGTAAATTATTAAATGAAACGGGGCGCTGATGCTGGAAATATTCAAATTCTGTGCCCTTCACTGGAGAAGAAATTTATTAAATACTTTTTATCGCACTTAGTCTCATCTAAGCTGTCCTTTTTTGGGTTTCTTTTATTTTATTTTGTAAAAGTTAAAATTATTTTGCAAAACTTGCGGATGTTACAAGTTACGAATGCCTGCGTGAATTGCTACAGTATGTACCTGATTCTAACAGAAAAATAACACAAATCAAGATTTTTTCAACTACAGAAAAATCTAAAAAAAATATATTAAATTTATGTATATGGTTTCCCCTAACTAACCCCGCACCTTTTTCCACGTGCGGGCATACGATTGTCTAAAGTCTTTTCGGAACAACCCATAAATCAGTGGATTAACAATTGACGCCGAAAGTTGAAGGAGAGACGTCGTCGTGGTAAACCATCCCGGTATGAAGCGTGCCGGTCCCTTCTCCCCGCCCAGCACTTTGGACACCTTGACACATCCGGAAGGAAAGGTGAGCACGAAGTAGGATGCGATCACGATGATCATGGCTTTCAAAATTTTAGAGTTCGCTTTAGCCTCTGTTTTAGTTTCCTTGTTGTGCTGAAGTTTCCCCGCGTGCCTCTTTTCCTTTGAGTTTTGGATGATCAACAAGTTTGCCACGAGGATTATGGAGGACGGCATAACGAAAAACCAGAGCGTGCAGAATACCCCGTATAGAAAAGCGGGAGGGTTGTCGGGTCCCATGGATATCCACGTGATGTCACAAACCCCGCCCCAAAAGTCGTAGTCAAACTTGAGGAAAAAAATTATGCAAATTTTGATTTAATGTACATACATAAGATGCACGTGGAATTTTATACACCTAATTTTTGAAAATTATCCTACCTGTGTCATTAGCCATACAATTACACAGGGGAAACAAGTACCCCATTGCCACAGGCATGCAAATTGTAACCTCCCATGGGTAACCCATTGTGGGTAATGCAGTGACCAACGGACAACCTAAAATTGTGCGTAATTTGTTTACTAACTTATTACAATCTAGATTCATTTAATATTGCAATTCACGCAGCTCTTGGCAAAATTGTAAAATTCGTAAATTATGCAAACTTGTAAAATTTTCCAAATATTTCAAACGGAAATTAGTTTACAAATTTTTCTAAACTTGCTCAGATGAAGGGCGTCTATTTATTTTGTAAACGCTTACGGATTTCATAAGTTACAAATGACTGCGTGAATTGCTTAAATGCGTTCATTGAACACATTCCTCAGTTTGAAGATTGTGTGTTTCATGTTAAGGTTCCCATGGATGACGCGTTGGCGCGTAATCTCACTCTACCCCTGTCCAATGTATTCAAATGTAATTTCTAAAATCGAATCAACTCCTTGAGTTTTGAGATAAATGCAAATTTTGATATTTTAATCTAAACCTAATTTTTGGTACTACAAACAAGTCGATTTGAAAAAAATTAAAAAATTCGTTTGCCAATTTTTCACAGTAAATTTCCTCGAAAATGAATTTTTTTCAAATCGACTTATTTGTAGTACCAAAAATTAGGTTTAGATTAAAATATCAAAAGTTGCATTTATCTCAAAACTCAAGGAGTTGATTCGATTTTAGAAATTGCATTTGAAGACAGGGGTAGAGTGAGATTACGCGCCAACGCGTCATCCATGGGAACCTTAACCTAACTTATCTCACTTACAATGAATCTATCCACACTGATGACGGCTAGGAGACCCATTGTCGTTATAAAGCCGAGGAGATTAGTTAAGGACCAGATTAAGCAAAATATTCTGCCGCCAGAGTATTCATCACAAAGTATGAAAACTGCTCCAGGGATGCAAACCATTCCGGTGGTCATTAAATCTGTGTAAGCCAAGTTCAGAATGGGAAGATTCGACAAGTTTGTCTTCACTTGCACTGCTGGATCAACTGATATGGTGTAGATTACCTGCAGAGAAAAAATTTGAAATTAGCGGGTTGCGGTGACATAACAACTTAATTATCTAAGTAATTGAGGCAATTCATGCAGTCCTTAGTCAGTTTATAAAATCCGTAAATTCTGTAAAATAATTTCACAAACTTGTATAAAATAAAAAGACGCCCTTGATTTGAGAATGTACTTATGTAAGTTTACAAAAATTTGTAATCTAATTTTGCTTAGAAATACTTGTAGAAGTTTGCAAAATTTACGACTTTTGCAATGTTACCAAGGAATGCGCATATTGTCTGAACAAAATGAGTTTGTAGAAGTTTTTACAGAATTTACGGCTTATGCAATTTAGGAATGCGTATATTGTCTGAATAAAATGTCAGTTTCATATTTACCAAACTGTTTCCGAAAATTCCAGAAATCGCCAATGCAGAGAATGCAAGACATCCAACTACTTTTGCTAAAGTACTTCGTTTGAAATGTTCTTGTTCTGGGTCGTGCTCGAATGGTCGCATTTCTTGATAGGGTAGCATAATTTCAGTAACTGGAAAAAATGTGATTTAGATATTTTATCTTCTGTTCACTTTTCAATTTCGCACTTTTGAAATTTTTGTATAGTCTGTCTCAAAATGAAGAGATAGTTTTGGAAAATTCTACTATTTCTTAACAGCTTGGTCCTGGGGCCCAAAGTTTTATTATATTATAGTTCAGGTATTGCTACAAGTTCATGCCAAGTTTGATTGAGATTTGACTTAAATCAAGAAATTTATATGCAATCTTACAAAATTAGTCAAAATCGACTGTCTCAAAAGTAAGAGATAGGGCATTTTTATGAAATTTAAACATTTTATAAGTTAATTTTAAGGGAGTCAGTGCCCTTGAAACTTATTCTAGTATTTGGTAAAACCTTTCTTAGCTAGAATTAACGCGAATATTCGTCGCTTCATTGAGTTATTGAAGTGCTGAAGGGTCTCCAGCAGGATATTTGCCCATCCGCCATGCATCATTTGCTCCAATCCCTTTTTGGTTCGAAATTGACGCCCACCCGACGCGAGAAGTTGGCCCAAAAATTCTTCATGGGATTTAGGTCAGGACTGCTACCCGGCTAAGCTAAGTTCCATTTTTTATTTTTCATTGCATTTTTCATGGCATTTTTCATGGCATTTTTCCTGGCAAAGAAGTCCATGATTAAACGGGAAGTATGAATTTGGGCGTTGTGATTCTGAATATCCCACCTTATCCGCAAAATTCTGGGTCCCTAGCTGACCAGATTTGACTGGCGTACTCCCTGATAACCTTGTAAATCTTTTCTGGGTGTACTCGTGCTATTTCGGTCATTCCACGATATCCAAAACCTCCCACAATATTACCATATTTTTCCTTAAAAATTACAAATTCAATTTAAATTTGTGGTTCATATTTTTGGACAAATATTTTTATGCCGAATATTTTTTTAGTCCCATGCATAACCTACATTCTTGTCTAAAAATACCCCATACCAAAATATGTGTTAATAAATGTGAACCATATTTAAATTAAATTTGTAATTTTTAAGGGGTAATTTTGTAATCTTATGGGAGGATCTGGATATCATGGAAAGACCGAAATAGCACCGATTACACACAGAATAGGTTCACGAGGTTATCTGAGAGTACGCCAGTCAAATCTAGTCAGTTAGGGACCCAGAATTTTGCGGATAAGGTGGGATATTCAGAATCACAACGCCCAAATTCATACTTCCCGTTTAATCATGGACTTCTTTGCCAGGAAAAATGCCGGGAACTTAGCTTAGCCGGCTAGCAGTCCTGACCTAAATCCCATGAAGAATTTTTGGGCCAACTTCTCGCGTCGGGTGGGCGTCAATTTCGAACCAAAAATGAATTGGAGCAAATGATGCATGGCGGATGGGCAAATATCCCGCTGGAGACCCTTCAGCACTTCAATGACTCCACGAAGCGATGAATATTCGCGTCAATTTTAGCTAGGAAAGGTTTTAATTTTTTAAGATTGTAGATAAATTTCTTGATTTAAGTCAAATGTCAATGATACTCGGCATGAACTTGTAGCAATACCTGAGCTATAATATAATAAAACTTTGGGCTCCAGGACCAAGCTATTAAGAAATAGTAGAATTTTATAAAACTATCTCTTCATTTTGAGACAGAGCGTATTTTAAAACTTCCATAATTCAGACATGACGAAACTAATGTTAAATTGTGTACTAAAAATCTAGGGTTTTAGAAAATCAAAAATACAAAAAATATGTTAGTTTAAAAACATAGAGATAGTCCTTAAAATTTTCCAATTTTTTTTGCCATGCAAACAAACTTGCGGGGATAACCGCTCTGATGTTTTTGTCTCTATTTTTTTGAACGAGTAGTATTCTGTAATTTTTTAAACGGTAAATTTGTAAAAACTTACCATTAGAATTTATCTCAGTTGTGACCGTATTTATTTCAGGGCTTATAAAAATTTTGAGCAAGCCCATCAATGTAATCAACGAGTTATGAATTTTCAACATTTCGACAGATCAATTAGGTAGTTATCAACCTTGGGGAAAGTCACAGTGAAAGTGGAGCAATTTCAAGCTTTTATACTATCAAGAGTGCATGATACTTCGAGTTTCTAAAATATTAAGGCATAAATTAAATTGTCGAGATACTCAGGATTAGATAATATGTATTTACATATACGTTTACGTATGTGCATATGTATGTATCTACATATGTGTATGTATGGTAATTGGTAGGTAAATATTAGTAGATATGTATTATGCTATTCGATTATGTCATCGTTTAAGTGAATTTGTCCATTTCTTCACTTTTCCTTCATATCAGAAGCGTGAATCGTGAGAGGGTCGACGCTGGATAAATTGTGCATCAGTCGGAATTCAAGTGCAAGGTTGTACACAAATAGAGGAATTTATCGTATGTCAACAAGGAAAAATGCATTCGATGCATTCTCGAGAGCAGTGGCCGCGGAAGCTATGGGGACATCTGGGACATTAACGTTTAGGAATGGTTTATGATGGTGGGCACCCAATAATCTAGGTAACATTTACTGGTATGAATAAACTCAGGCAAAAGCTCCGGGGAAAGGGGAAAAGGGATAGGCTATTGCTTGTGGCAAAGGGTCAAGGTAAAGGAAAATGCCCTGCGTGGTATGAATAACCTTTTGCCTTTGCCTTACCCTTTTCTCGATGAGAAAAGGCAGTTGCCCAAATGGGGAAAATTGCATTTGCCTTTATTTTATTCGTTCTGGTGCAGATTCCTAGTAATAATTCTTGTAAATTTAAAACTGAATGGACGGGAATTGTTATCTTTCCAAATTTCAAAGACTGTTAAAAAATTTTAAATTTCGCGAAAATTGGATTTTTAGCAAGTCATTCTGGCGATATGTTTCCGAATTTTTTAATTCGCGCTAAAATTAGAAAAGTTAGAGGATTTTGAAAACCCAGGGTTTCGGCTGGAAAACAATTTAAAATTCGCCCCTCAAACCAGCGCAGTATGAAAATTGCAAAAATACGGGTATGCTTATTTTTTTGTGGTTAACTTAAATTGGTCCCATGTAAATCTGAGTTTTACATGTGAAAGACCTGCCTTGTAAGTGGTGAACAAATTGTCATATTTGCTGATCTGATTAGCAAATTCTACACTTTTAAAAATCTGGTTGGGTCACATATATACCCCGTACTAGTATTGATTTGGTAATAACTTCCTACCGAATTGATAATAGTTTGTTTCTGACAATGGAGGCGCAAACCATGTTCAACCCAGATTATTTTTTGACCATGTTAGTTTGGAAGAGCAAGTCTCTAGAAACAACATTTGGTTCACCACTTGCGCAGATGCGCAAAATTCAGCAAGTTATAGGCGCCACAAGTTCGCAAAAAGTGGTCGAGAGTGAGCCGCGCTGGACCTTGCATCAAAAATCATGCGTTTTTGAGAAATTGTGGCGCCTATAACTTGCTGAATTTTGCGCATCTGCGCAAGTGGTGAACCAAATGTTGTTTCTAGAGACTTGCTCTTCCAAACTAACATGGTCAAAAAATAATCTGGGCTGAACATGGTTTGCGCCTCCATTGTGAATGGTAAATTTTTCATTACCACATTACTCGCAGTAGTGTCCGTTATTGCCAGTGCCCCCAGAGCATACACTTAAAATAAGGTAGTAATGAATCATTACCATGCGGAATGACTATGTGGCTCTACCACGTCGGTTACGATTTGTCGTAGAAATGGTAACGATAATTTCAGAGAAATTCAAAGTCATTACCAAATATTAAGGAACTGAATACCATTATGTATTAGATTTTTAGGGGAAGTTTGACCTACAAACACTAAGGTGACTCTGATGACAAGTAATATACATAATTACATAACATGTACACAGGAAGGATGGATGGGATTCCTGATATATGTATCTATGTATGTACATGCATACGATCAGTCTCATGCTTAAGCACGGTCCCAGATTGTATCGACTTGCCTAGACGTTGATACTGGCTGATTTCATAATCTTGTAAAGTTATGCGATGCTATTATCATTATTTATTATTTAAAAATTCATTTTTAAAATTTTTAAAAATTTAATATTTTCATGCCATTTCTTAATTTTTTATAAACCCAAAAAACGATAATTTTTTGAAAATTAAAAGTTTAAAGAAAATAATTTTTTTTATTTTCAGGGATGTAATTCTGAACACAAATTAGGTTTAATTTTTGAAATCGGGTTAAAACACGAAAGGTTACAACATTTTAAAAAAAAATCCTGATTTTGGCTGAATTTTGTTTTTAATTCCGCCAAGGGCGAAAACATGACCATTCCGGAAAACGAAAAAATACGGGTCCACGTATTGCTGCACTCTTAGAAATTCATACTTTATATGACGTAAAATATAACTCGATATAACTTCCAAAGTGCCACTACCCCACTTATAGCGAATCGCTCTCTCTCGACCACAAAGTAAGCCGTTTTACCCTGTAACAATATTCCTACAGGGTAACTGAGCGCCCAATAGGGTAACGACCGTAACCCCGAATCGAGTGGATTATGATTTTACTTTCTTGCTTTGATGACCCCAAAAAAAGTTACTCAAGCGTACTCGCAGTATTTAGTATTTTAATAATATATTTTTTCATCTACAACATCACATATAAAAATGAAAACACCTTTAGTATAAGTGATCAACTATGAAAACATTAATTTATAATTAATTTACTAACTAGTTACAGCACAACATTAAGTTACAACCGAAATTACTGAAATATTCAAATTATAATTAAGTCATTTAAATAAAGAATTATTAAATTCGTGGCATAATTTGTCCAATGAGTGCTTGAACAACAGGAGGAAGAGGGTTATCGGCCGGCTTTCCAGCAATTCCATGCTGCATGAACATCCAGTGATTATAAGATTCGATCGGTGGGGGTATATAAAGAACGGTTGTACTTTTTAGATAAGTATCCAGAGCCACCATGAAGCTTGGTCCGCGTGGCACCGCCGTCTTGTTGATAATTACGAAGAACTCTTCTATCTTGACGTCATAAATTGTTCCAAGACCCACAATATGAGGTGCCGGCTGCTTGCTTTCTGCTAAGATGCTTGCGACACTAGTGTTTTTCTAAAAATAACACCATCAGTAAATAAATAAATATGCAGAAATTTCATATATGGATAAGCAAAACCAGTACACTTACAGGCCGGAACAGAATAAGACTCTCCGAGCAATCCAACTGCGACGCCTTCATTGTTAGTGGTTTGTTTCGAGCCTTTTTTGTTCTCGCTATAGATTTCTTACGCTTCTTGGGCTGCGGATCATTATCACTCGAATCAGAATGGTCATCTTCCGTTCTTAATTTTCTTGAACAGAATGGAAGAATATAAGGCAGGAGACAGTAGGCAAGAATTAAAATTTCATCTGAAAAATTTACAATGTGAAATAACATTATTAACGTTGACTTAGGAGGACAACCCTTCACCGACAGAATCACCGATCTTGATGCCCTTTGGATATGTTGTAGTCCTAGGTGAGTCTAGCAAAAGTGAAGAAGGATTTCATTCCATGGCCCCATTTGCGCCCGCCACACCCACTCAAAGGTGCGAAAATACCCTGTTTTGGTTCATTAAAAAAATCACCAAAAATCCAATTTTGTTCGGATTTTCACAATTTAAGCGTTTTTTTGATCTTAGATAGTTGCTTTATCATATCCAATAGCAAACTCAATTTTTTTGAAATTTTGATTTTTTCGAGGGCATACCCCTGGTCAGGAAATTTCCGAAAATATTCAAAAAATTAAAAAAATTGAGTTTGCTATAGGATATGATAAAGCAACTATCTAAGATCATAGAAACGCTTAAATTATGAAAATCCGATCAAAATTTGATTTTTGGTGATTTTTTGAATGATCGAAAACAGGGTATTTTTCGTGTTTTTCGCGCCTTTGAGTGGGTGTGGCGGGCGCAAATGGGGCCATGGAATGAAATCCTGCTTCACTTTTGCTAGACTCACCTAGGACTACAAAATATCCAAATGGCATCAAGATCAGTGATTCTGTCGGTGAAGGGTTGTCCTCCTTAGTTGAATGTGACGTCACAGGTCTAAAAATCTGCACATTTTTACTCATTTCTTGGCTCTGGGAATGTATTTTTAAATTCGATCTGGTCATTTTGTAGACCAGATCAGTACCAATTTATTAAAAATATGCACTCTAGATTTTGAAAAGTTTTGAAGGCATTCACTCTTTTGGGGTCTCTTTCTACAAAACTTTTCACAATCTAGAGTGCATATTTTTCATAAATTGGTACTGATCTGGTCTACAAAATGACCAGATCGAATTTAAAAATACATTCCCAGAGCCAAGAAATGAGTAAAAATGTGCAGATTTTTAGACCTGTGACGTCACAGTCACCTAAGTCAACGTTAAGGCAATTCATGAATTCCTGATACGACAATATTATGTTTAATGAGGCGACATTCTTACCATCTGTTAAATCATATCGTGGTTTAGACACGCCAAGTATCTTTGCAAAATTTATATCACTTTCAACTGCATACTGGAACAATAACTTTGAGGCTTTGGGCCATCTTTCATACACGATCAATGCCAAATTGGGGTGACGAATATTGAAATCCTGCACTATCCATGAATTATTAAATAAATAAATAAATTATTACAAATTTTTGATCATAACAATGTAAATAAACAAATACACCTTTTATCATTACGATATAATATAAATAAAATAGGGCCTTTATATACTTACATTTCCTTCTGTGTCAAAAAGTCGTGGAATCAATCCAGGGATTTTATTAGATCCTTCCTTCCGTTCCAAAATATTTTCTACCCAAGACAAGCGACGGATAATTGTTCGCCGCTGGAACACGGTATTTTTCATGATTGACTTTGTATCCTCCCCAGAATTATGCTTAAGGTATTCGAGCACCTTTTCATCCGGTTCAGGATCGTCTAACATAACGCGAAACATTTCGTTTCATACACATACATTTCATATGTAATTGAAACCAAGTTAATGTAAATTCATCAAACGGGTTGCCATACCTTCATCATTATCAGAGTCCCAATTCACAACATATTGAGCAGATTCATCATCAAAGCTGTTGATAACTTTCTTCTTTGCTAGTCGCTTGCGTTGATTTTTAAGACGCTCTTCCAAGAAACCGGAAGCGGCGCTGGCATGGATTGAATGATTAAACCACATCCTCCATCCTTTTCCCCCTTTCATAGGATCCCCAAATGAAGGATAAGTATTGACAAGGTTTTTAGCAAGTTGTTCCATCGCTAGTTTACTTGGGCTGTAATTAACAAATTCATTGTTACGAACAATTTTGGCACGAAAACAATCTTTCCATACCATGTTCCTAAATTTTCGATGAGGGCTTCCACCAGCACGTTCGCGACTGCTTGACGGTCTGCTTTAAGAATCATCGCTCCGCATGAAATTTTCCTTTCAATAATCGAAGAAACAATATTGTCGGATTTTAGGACGGATTCCAAGTTCTGTAGCAAATACATATAATTTTAGCCAATGCACAGGCAGATAAATTATAATCTTATTCATAAAATTCGACTAACTTACAAATCCATAAATCGGTTTGGTTTGAGGGCGCGGCACAGAAACCTCTGGGGTGGTAGAGAGTTGCTCTTCGACCTAAATGTACAATATTAATACAGAATAATATTTTGTTTTTAATAAACACCAAATTTAAAAGTTGTAACTTGTTAATGTGAACTTGCAATAGATAGACGAATGAAGGTTCCGTCCGCCTGTTGAAGAGCGAGGGTTCGTCCTAATGTTTCAGAGGGTGGATCGATCATAACATAGTTCTCAGATTGAGTAGCAAGCGAAATATCTTCGCCCGTAGGGTTGTGATTTTTGGGAATGGTCTTAAAATTAATCAGAATTAAACAATTAATTAAATCAATTTAATTCGAAGCAAAAATAAAATACAATTTATTTCACCTCAAGTGTCGCTGGGCTACGCGGTGTTAGTTGCGATTCTGCAACTGGTGCTGGTGGACTGCCAATTTCTTTCAACAATGCTGAATTCCTTAGAGTACTAACTGGGTTGCGGCATGGTGTTACTTGTTTCTGATTTTTCAGCAGAGATGGATTAATATTTAGTCCACGATCTTTCATTTCACGCTCCGACAACATCGAAAAACTGAATTCGGAATCTGATCTTTCTTCTCTCTGCTTAATTATTTATAGAATATGGTACAATGAAACATAATTCTTGTAAATATAAAAATGATTACAAAATCCGGAAAATAGAAAATATGTTAGACAGATTTTAATGGGAATACAATATAATTATTTGGGTCGTTATTTGCAAACGATTTTGACGAATAAACTGGTTGATAATATTTTATATCGTTTAAATTTACAATTTGTCTTGTTTTTGTTTGGATTAATTTAAAACATGAGTAATGTTGAACAAACTCCGACTCAAAGATTTCAACTAAAAAATTACAGTCCTCGTTTTCCAATATTATAATTTCAACACAACCAAATACAGGGAATTGTGAACATTGCTCAATTAATAAAAAACAACCCTGCCTAAACTCTGCTCCATTAAATTTAACTTTTGTCGTCACATCAATTACTGCGTTTTGTATAATACCTAACTTTTCCCGTATAAATTCACAATGCTCCAGGTCCTCAACATTTGCACTTTCACTTTTAAGAAATTCGAACCGATTTGGACAATAATTATCGCTCTAAATTAAATTGAAACATCTTGCTAACTGAAACCTGTAAGCTAATGACTTCGGGATATTCTTAAAATTGCAAATTACATGAGCAGCTGTTTTAAAAAATTTGTGCCTTGCCTCGAAAGTCATGGCCCAAAAATTTCTCAAAGGCCCTATAGCTTGAATTGCGGAGGCATAATGTGTTAAATGATGGTGCTTGGGTTTTAATTTACGACCAAAAACTATTTGATATTGGGAAAGGAATTCGGAAATTAAAGAATTTAAATACTCTCTCCCACCTTCAGATATTTCATGCGACAATAATATATTTAAAATTTCGATGAATGAAAGATAAAATTCCCAAACCTTATCTAAATAAGGAATCAAATCTCCAATAATTAACGGTAAGAACAATAAAAGACACAAGCTCTGAGATGCATTCTGCCCAGTTAGTGTCTCCCTTTTCAAATAATTAACTTTGATTTCTGAGGGCCGGCTTTTCGAAAGTACCTACCATAATCAAATGATTCAATTCGGTAGTTTAATTTTTCTAATTTGATTATTTTTCGAGAGATTAAACTATTCAACGTGCATAATAATAAATCCGGACCTACTCCCTCCAAAATGTCGTGCATTATGTCAAATACAAAATTATTCGTTGCATGAAAATAGGGCAGCTCATTTAAAACTGTTGCAAAATTAATTCCTGTGAGACTGAAGTTATTCATGTTAACATCAATATTATAATTTTGAATATTCCGAATTCTGATGGAATCTTCTCCAGTTGCCACCTGACACTCAGTCCTATGCAGTTTACATTTACGACATGGAAAATTCGCCGTGAAACCCTCAGAAAACCCTAAAATAGAGTGCAACCCTAAATTGTCGCCACAAATTTGAGCCAGAGCTACTTTTAACTCAATTTCCTCGCCATTGTGGGTGATTTGAATGCCTTTTGTCCATAACTCTTTCAACTCATCCACAATTATTTGCATTACTGAATTAGATGTGCAAAGTTTCATATCCTCACTTTTTAAACATGCCAATAAAATGGTGTTTTCTAAAGAAGATAACATTTGCGTTGGCATGTCTAGAATTGTAAAATAAAAATTTGCCAGCTTATGTTTGCCTTTTTTGGAACCAAGAGGATTCGCAACTTCCGCGTCGTCAAAGTAAATTGAAATAAAGATCACATCCCGTAAATTTGAGCCTAAACCATCACAATACTGACCGTTTCTAAAATCTGAATACCTTTCGCCATTGTATCTCTTTCTGTTTTGCAAAGTTGAATAAAACCCTGGTTTGTCTAAAAGTTGAGTAACTGAACTCCTTATCGACACATATTGCATGGTAATCGGTCTATACCGTTGCCTCCGTGTCCCGTCTTTAGAACGAAAAAATTCTAAGTCAGTGTCCAGAACGATTTCCTTTGGACCAATCATCATTCCATTTTCTAAGAAATATTTATCTAACTTGTGTTTGCTATTTAGATTATCAAATACTTTCAAGTAGGAATCTAATTGATTAAGTTTCCTCAATTTGCAATCTTTTTCCATGCTGCTCTGAATGATTTTAGTTGCAAAACTCTTACAATTTAATACGACATTCGTAATAATTTCTTTAAAAGTTTTCATGATTTGATTGCTTGTACTCATGGGAACTTTTCCTGATTTTAGTAAACTAGCAAACAATTTTAAAATCTGTTCATCCACATTCACTACTTCTATTCTCTCCTCAAGATTTGGTGAAGTTGACAATCTTTCCCCTGCCGCATTGTCATTTTCAACAAAATTTGTTGCTACTATTTGTAATTGAGGAGATATTTCCAATAAATTTCTGTGAATTTTGTAAATATTACGAAAGTGATTCAAGTATGACTTTCTCTGTTACAAACCACTACAGTGAGGACATTTATAAACACTGGACCCTGTTAACTTATGATAATTTTTTAAATGTTCTGACAACTCTACTAAAGTCTTAAAATTAGTATTGCACTTAAAACAGGAACTACAGGAACAAGCGACGATAATTCTTCTTTGGAAATTATTAACAGAGTCTCGTCCGTAATATCGTTGTCTGTTTAAAATAAATCAAATAAAATTTAAGCTCAATTAGAAATTAAATTTGTGTATAAATTATTCAAATTCATCAAACAAATAATAATGTAAATTTCTTACCCTTAAAAGCATCCCAGTAGCATTCCAATCCACATTGTTGCAATAATCTCCTCGTTTCCTCCATTATTGGCTTAGAAGTTAACTTTGCAATTAATTAATTATCAATTTAACTAACCAGCACTGCCACTGCTGAACTGGGAGTTCTTGTGAGAGAGAGGGAAAAATCAATTTGAGCGCGGCTGACTTGGCCAGGAATACCCCAAATGGGATTTGCTCACTCTAAATGATGTAATAGCTTACTTTGTGGTTTAGAAAATAGTGGTTTTACTTCAAATTTGGTAACCTTTGTCATGACTTCAAATCAAGTTGGCAATTTTACTTAGAATCAAGTGACGTTTACTTTAAACCGCATAAAGTTTCTTTTTACTTCATGAAAAGATGTGGCAATTTTTATGAGTGTGGTCCTGAACAATTTAAAATTAGTGCGGTCTCGATCGGTGATAATCACCTTACACCATTCTATTGTTAGATACATGGGACAGCCATGGACATATGTATGACTTATAACTTAAAATTATGACGTATGACTTATTTTATAAGTTACAAGTCATAGAAACGCCATATGTCAACGTATATTTATAATTAGAAGTTAAGTTTTACGTCATAATTTTAAGTTACAAGTTTTGCGTCCATGGCTGCCCGATACATATGTTGTTTTACCATCACAGTAGTGAATTTAATTTTGATTATTAAAATAAATAAATAAGTACTCAATAGTTAATTAGTTAATTAATAAATAAGTATTTTTCATCCAAACAAAAATTGCAGTTTTTTATAAATTGCCTTTTTATTCCTTGAAAACAGCGCTTATGTATACATATGCATGTAAGATGAGGTTATTAGTAGGTTGTTCGTATTAATATGTACATACATAAATATATAATATGTACATATATACATGCATACGTTGCTCACTTGCCATCTATAAATAGATATAAGCAGCCATCATTCTCAAAATTATCTAAACGCATATACATAAGTATAGTTACAAACTTGACGTGAAATCCCTCCATGAAACACTTCACGTCAACCTTCGTAAGTCGGTAAAAACTTACGAAACCTGCGAAATTTTGATTAAACTTATACATACATATACGACTATACGAGCATCTCGAAGGTAATTCCTTAATTCCAAAACCTTACGAAGATAAAAGACATGTCTTGTTTCTTGATCTTCGCAAGTTTACGTAATTACGAAGGTTGACGTGAATTACCTCAGTAATCTCTGTTAAGCAGCATAATATTTACATACATTGGTGGACATTATAACAAATTATATGCACACGTTCCAGGAAGTATAATGACGTCGCGTTTTCCTTGAACTTTTTGAAAATTGTTGCCATACCTATTATTTTACTACGTTGCAAATAAATATTACCAGAAATCACAAATTAACTCAAGCAAACCTTCAAGACTAGTTTATTTATCTAGCTTGAAGCGCAGTATGTGCTCATACTCTCTTCTCTGGACACAAACTTCCAAACGAAAATCAAATCATGTACACCAAATTATTTTACAAATTAATTTTTGTTTCTGCCAAACTTTTCTCTTTATTTG